GGGGCTTCTGCAACCATTCATGGACAAGGAGGGCTATTTAAGCCCAGTTCAGGGGTTTCTAGTTCTTATCTGAAACAGATTTTTTTTTTTTCCTGAAGCTAACCATCTTACTTTGACAGGCTCTCTTCCTTTTATTGCATGCCTTTGGTATCAAATTTCATGGCCTTAATGGACAGGAAAAGAGGACTTTTATGAAAATCACAATGGTGTACATCTTACAGCCTTTCTGAATGTTTTAAAACATTCAGAATTAGGGGTTTCTGACAAAGTCCATCAAGACGTTTTCATGACAAAACGATCAGATGTTTTGGAAACCTTTCTTGTTCTGTCAGAGGTTATTCTATTGATATTCTTTATCTATGAATTTATTAATTAATTTTCAGATCCATCATTATTGTTCACACAGTTGTTTGAAATCTTTTTCTTTAAATCATGATTCTGTAAAAAAAAAGGTTCTTGACTGTACATTCTCTGAACTACTGAACATGTCTTTTCTGTAGTTAAGAAGTTACCTAATGAAAATCTGAAGTGGTCCTGTCACAATTCCCACTATGCCTTTTAAAACTGAAACTTTAAAATAGAGTCAATTCCAAGCCAAGTCTTTAATAAGCAAGTGTTTTCCATCTCTTCTAACCAGTTTACCCAACCCCAGTAGCTGCTCTCTGCAGCCTACAGTCAGCTGGAAAAGTAAGTACCATTAGCAGGTGTATGTAAGTAATGCTTCTTCTTTGAACTAGTCATTACATACATTCTCTCTCCTTTTAGAGGAGGTCTGGTGGGTAGTTGGAAACAAAATAAAAAATTGCTTACACATTTAGGCCCCTGAAGCTGAAGCAAACAATATAACCCATGTAAAGTGTGAACTGGGGTCTGTCTTTCCTATGACTCCTTTTCCCCCCTTGATTAAACTGCAATTCATTATTATTTGTAAACAATTTAAAGGAAATATTTAAACAAGTCAAACAAACCAAACCCTTTCTAGCAGAAATGTTTCTGTTTTCTTTTTAGTTCAGCAGACTTGTTTAAAGAAACAAATTTATCTTCTTTGTGCTTAGCTTGACTATAAACATGCTCTTCAAAGCTAGATATTTAGTCAGCATTTGAGACTAAGCAAGAGCATATTATACACTTAATTTTGCTTTAATGTTACTGAGAAACCTCAGAAATTTAGCTTGCAAGGCTAATTGCTCTCTTCTGTCTTTCCCTAAAGGTAGTATAAGCAGACTTATACAGAAAATTGTTGGAAATTTTGTTAAAAAAGACTGATTTCTGCTGGAAAAACAAACAACCTCAGCAAAGTTGGACTTGGGATAATTTATGAACAGGCTTTATTTTACTGTATTTCAATAGAGACAATTAGAGCTATACAGCAGTATTTCAAATAATGGTTTTGATTCATACTAGGGTTTGTGCCAAATTCTCTTATCATAGATCAACTGGCAGAGGGAGTTTGCATGGTCAGTAAGCTTGTGCTCCTTATGCCAGATGCCAGCTGTGGCTGCTGAAAAGGAGGCGGCAGTAGTTGTGACATACCATAGGAGAGAAAAATATTTCTTGCAAGCAGATTTGACTAGCAGACATCATCCGTACTTTATAGTTATTAAGAAGCTCTTCAAAAAATATCTGTCCTCCTCCAAGGCTGCATATATTCTGGTGTGGGAGCTAGTGCTGGGAGCAGAGAAAGAGACCCTCACAGAAGAGCTGTTATGTAGATAAGCAGGCAGCCTTAACTGTCCTACTCTCATATCATTGTGGTTGGTCTCTGAGTAAAACCTGCCAAAGTCCTGCAGGAACTTCTGAACAGTGTTTAGCTATGGTAGAGAAAGGAAAATGTATCTAACAGTGTTTTATAAAAGCATCGGGATCAAACTAATGAGATTTACTTACTTTTTTGAATGAGTTTATTATTATTAATGACGCATCATCAATTCATTTAAAATTCTACTCTGGTTTAGGAAATAATCTAGATAATTTTTTAGGTGGATTTTTGCCATTTGCTGGATCAAGAAAAGCTAATAGAATAATAAATCTTTCCCATACTCTTGCTTTAGACTTACCATTATCTGATTCTTAACCTGTAGTGCAGATATGCAGCCAAAATTTAAAGTCCTATCTTGTTGATATAGACTCAGTAATATTTCTAAATGTTTTGAAATGCATTTGACTCGTGTATTTCCTTGAGGATTCAAATCCTTTGAATACCCAAAATGAGACTTCTTTCTGTGTCGCCCCCCCCCCTTCTTTTTTAAAGTTCCTACTAGTCTTTTGCTGCCAGGAATCACAACTAATTCTGAGTTGCAATTATCAAATATTTCAATAAAGTATCCACAACACCTTGATTAATAAGGAAAACAGGTTCGAATGTGTATATTTCATTAAACCCAAACTTTTTTCAAGTCACTTTATTCTTTTTTGTGAAATGTAGTTTTTCTTTGGCTTGGTGAGGAAGAAACTGAAAATATATTTGTACTTCTTTATTTTTTGAAATGGATTCTCTGTGCTACTTGAAGTGACTTAGAGGAATATATAAAATGAGAATGGAAACCCCACAGTGCAAATAGAACTTCCTTTTCGAATATGTGCTTTCAAAGTCTTCATGCCAAATGCATCCCTGGTGTAAATCAATTTCAGTAGCATTACATCAGAGAAGAATTCAGATTTTTCTCTCTATGCCAGTGGCCCACTGGTAATATCAATCCATCTACCATGCTACTTCCAATTTTGTTTCACTTGCATTTACAGAATTAGTTACAATTTATGGCAGAAAGCAGTAAGACAGCTTTTTTCTTCTCCCCCCCCCCCCTCCCCCAATACCTTCAGGAGTGAATGTAGTGTGAGTGAATTGACCTTTTATTTATTATTTTTCTCAAGTTAGATGGAACAGGTATAAAGGAAATAATGAAACAACTGCTGAATTGTAAGGGTCATTGCTGTGTAGAAAGCTATAAATTAGCTGGTTCTTATGGGAAATTACTTTCTACCTTTAAGGTGTTGCCATTTATAAATTCTTTTTAAGCTTCTGGGAATAGCAGTTTGAAAGTTTATAAAAGAAAATACTGAAATTCCATTTTATTCGCAGGTATTTTCAGAAAAAAATATCTGGACAAGCTTGTAATATAATAATAAACATTCAGTGGAAGCTGCATAACCTTAAAATTCTCTTTGCATTTGGAAAAATTGGCTGAAATATACAGATTAAAATCCATTATTTATAAACAGGCTAAACCTATGACCATTGGAGATCAGTTTGCTACCTGAAGTATGTAAATCTGCCAAATCACAATATTCTCTGCAAGATCCTTTATTAGTCTCTTTAAACAGGTAGCTACAAAGATCTTTTTATATACGTAGAATAGAGGACCATGAAAATGTCTCAATTATCGATCTGTTACATAATTCTTCAGGTTTTTGCAACAATGTTGGTATGCATCCGTCTACAAGGAAAACTGTAGCGCTGCTCTTTCATTATATGACAGATTGCTAAGAATAAGCTCCTAAAAAAGCCATAAAATATGTAACAGTAGTGTACTGGTATCTTTTGGTAACCGAACTGAGAAACATCACACTGTTTTTAGAGCTGAAAGACTATTTTCAGCTTGTCCTATTTGATGTGACAAAAGGAGTCTCTTAAATATGAAACAGCATCCTCAAAAAGTCTCTTTACTTCTATTACTATTCATAAGGAGATCTTCAGCTGATGGACAGCTGATTAAAAAAACTGCTTGATAAATAATTTTAACATGCACAATTTTAAGTATTTACTCTTTCATTTCTAAAATAAACATTTGACAAAACATGATTACAATAGAAAAACATAAAAATATAAACAGGAAGAAAATGCACATTATGTATTTCAATAGTCAAAAGGAGTCGAGTTCATTTTCCCTATCCCATATTATCAAAATCTATCAAGTCAGAGAATATACTTCATATAGTCTGTGAACATCATTTATTCTGTTGGGAGACCAGTTTGTTAATGTCTGTCCCATTGCTAGTTTTAAAGGTTTTACCAGAGCTTTCTTCCTTGATAATTGGGATTTTCTATTTATTTTCAAATGAATTCAAGACAGTTTATAGCCATTCTTTTTTTGCCCATGGGTTTAACGAGTTTATCCTTCCCTAGTGTTGATCTCCTCACTTCCAGAACTGTATTTACAATCCTTCACTGGCATTGTATATCTGCGTACAAGGCCAATTCCTCTACTGTCTGTTTAGATAACCCTTTTCTTCTTGTTATGAGATTTTTTGCAGTTAGCTGCAAAAGTTTATTTCTGGGCAATTTATCCTGAATGTGGGTGGTCAGAAATACATATATTCTATGATTTTATAGAGGTCTTGTTTAACTATGAGCATCCCTCACTGTCTTAGGAACATCTTACTAGATAGAAAAATGCCAGTTCTGCATTTATAAGTAGCTCATGATTGTACCATACTGACAATGCAATGTCAAACTGTGTGCAGTACACAAGCCTTGCTCCTCTTCCAGTAATTTCTGTTAGGAAGGTTTTTAGCATGAATTCAGAAATTCTATTAAACTTTATAATATAGTACTTTTAGTACTAAATTTAATCAAAGCTATTTTATTCCCATTCTTGAAGTCTTCAGGTTCTTCTAGAACGACATTCTAATCCCCTTTTGTGTTGATGCTCCTAGCTTGGATCCTTCATCAGATTTCAGTAACAAGTTCCTTTTTTTTTCCTTTGTTGATAAAAATCAATGTTCTCTATTCCTGATTTTCAGTTAACTGGTTTATCAAACATAGCTCTATGTCTCTATTGCATTTTATCCCATTTTCTGTTTATTAGACATTTATGAATACTCATTTAGAAGATTATCTAAAAGCACAGAAGCTATCATGGCATTTCAGGTTAGGCTGCAATAGATGATATCTTACCTGTAGTCACCAGTAGCCCTAAATGGATATTGCTTTGATTGCTGTGCTGTCACTTTAATAATTCTGAAAGAAAGTAGCCATAAAAATAGTTTGTAATCATGGCAAATACAACATTCATTAAACAGAGTAAGTTGGATAGAAATATCTTCTATCAGCTCAAGAAAGAAAAGGGATCCATATATTGACAGTCATTAGATGTTCATACTTCTGCATCAAGCAGGGTCCCTGTAATTGCATCCTGAGGGATTAGACAATGAAGAACACACTGTTATATGGTCTGATTTTAATCAAATACATGGAACATACATCATGCACTATTATTAAAGTGACTATCTTGTGGATTAATATAGATATATACATGCTCACATACCTTTTCAAGTGGACTAAATACAGCTTTTGCAATTCTCTGATTAGTGACAGTTTCTCTTGTCACCTCCATTCTCGTAAGTTCTGTTCAAAATGCCAGATACAATACTTAATACGTTGTCATACTATGCATCACACAACTTTCAAATAAAGACAAAGGGTGCCAGTATTATGTGAAGTTACATCTATTCTCAATAATTTACTGAGATATTTCTCTGTGACATAGCAATAATTACAGTAAAATTGGAAAACATGGTCTTCAAGTCAAGAGATTATTTCCCACTTGCAATAGGGAGAAAATAAACAAGCAATTAGGTTTAGTAAGCTCTGAGCACACAAATGCAAGGGTTGAAGTAAGCCAGATGGATTTAAAGAGATTTCTTCCTTCATTGTGCTGGCACACTCTGAATATCACAAAATAAATTCAGTTTACATTTTATAGGTCTGTGTGTGTATGAAGGTAGCCACTCAGACATCTTACCTTGTTCTTTTTTGACACATAATCACTGTAAACCTTGAACACTTGTGTCTAATAGGGACAAATTATTAATTGGGTAATTCATCAGAAGCTGGTTATCTTTGTCACTCACCAGTGTCAGGTGTTTCTTATATTCAGCAAGCCATCTCTAGAGAAAATATGGGAAAAGATGGAAGGTGGTAAATTATTAATGATCTAACTTTGCTCTGATTTGAAATAGCTTCTGTCTGTTTTTCTTAACGTCTCAGTAAGTCAATCAAATCTGTGAACTGAGCTTCTGTTGAAATGAATTAGGATTCCAAGGAGAATCTTCCTTAATCTTAAAACGGGCTTGACAAGTTAAAATTTTATTTCACACTAGTCTTTTTTTTCTGAATTTATATGCATTCATTTCTTTATCAAACTTGTTTCTGGTGTGCAGTATTCACAGACCTAAATTCTTTATAACCTGCTAGCTGATATGTAGCTGGAAGTCTAGACTTTTCATGGTTGCTACTAGATTATGTCATTGACTATAGCAGCCTGAGACATACTTTATGATAGCAGATACGTTTTGTATGGTTTTATCCATTCTCAAATTAGATCCATTACTAATACTATAGAACTTAAAAGATTACTAAAAATTTATATCAGTGAAGACCAGTAATCCTTCCATTTTTGTTTCAAATATATCTTAAAAAAAAGAAAAAGAAAAAGAAAGCATGATGGAAAACTTACTGAAAACATTAACTATAGGCAAACCTTTACATAATTTCTAACTATACCACTTTTTGTGCTGTGGTAGGAGTTTTGAAAATATGGAACATAATGTTTTATTCACTGTAAAAATTGCATTAACTGCCAAATAATATTCCCCCAAATTTAGGATATTGAGCACCTGCAGTGATGAAGGGTTTTTACCGTATTTGGAAATACCTCACTGTCTCTGTTTGGGTAAGAAACTTCAAGCAAATCAACTGCCTGTTCCTTAAGGAAACTCTCCTGATTACACCTTAAAAAATTTACATATCTGGAATCTCCAAAATGCATTTCTAATACATAACATGAAAGTTGTATGCTTATGGTTAGTCTACAGGTAGTCTTGAAAATCATTCTCCATCTTCTCAAGAAGCACCTAGTACAGAAAGTAGGAGGTGCCAAACAGTTCCTCTTTATTTTCCCTCAGGAATTTGAAAGTGTACTACCTGGATTTAGGGTGCTCCCAGAGTCAAAATGCAACCTTAACTGGCTGTTCTAATATTACCAGGAAACTTAGGATATCTTCAAACAAATTATTTTTTTTGAGACATGAGTTTTAAAATGACTGCAAATGCACCTGATCTCATAGGCATGCATACCACATACATAGCATGTTCTTATAGTTTGATAGAAAATGAATGATAGCAGAAGCAATATGTATTTTTTTCTGTTTTATTGGGATTTAGTGTATTCTTGATTCAGCTTCTATTCCGTTTCTTCAAGGATAGGAGTCTCACGATGCACGATCTTTTTTCAAATATCTAAATGTTCAGTGTGTTTAGAAATTGCTCCTTATCACAACAAAGAGGACTCAAAGATGCATAGACAGTCAGTTAAAAGGCTCTTGACTTAAAAAAACACCAAACCTAGAGATTTTTCATAGCCCGTGATAAGAGATTTGGATCTTGTTCAGAGTTGTATTTTCACCAAATCCATTTTAACGCTAGATCACATTGCACTTGCAATGAAAGGAAACTACAAATATAATAGGAGTGTAAACTGTTCTGTAGGGACATTTTGATAAGAAGCTGTTGTTTACGCTGAGTCCCTTCTTTTGTTCAGCAAGGAAAAACTGCCAAATAAAATCCACTTAATGTGCTGCTCTCAGATGTTAAAAATAACATTGTTTAATAAGGAGTGATTAATCCTTCAACTGTTCATATTGCTTCGGGATTCACTCATAATACATACTTGATTGTAAAAGTAGAACATATTCTGTTCAGTACTGCCCTTTTTAGTTGTGGGTATTTTTTAAGAAAGAGGGTTTGATTGGCATTATTTGTTCTGGTTCTGTAAACAAAACACAGAGAAATAGACATTGTTAAGTGTCATTATGACAATCAAACTCTTCCACTTAAGAAAGTAGTTTTGAGTTGCATCACTTTGTCAGTAAATCTAGTGATTTCTGAAGCTGTTTTGGGATCAGTGACTAACGGGGGAGAAAATGAAAATGGAAAGTAGGAACAATATGAACTTCATGAGTTACTTATCTTTGGGAGAGATACACATCACATCAGTGATGCCAAAGAAGCTCAGCAGCTGTGCATGTGGTAGGGTTAAGTTCTGGGATGTTCTCAGTAAGAAAAGAATATAATCACAGAAGTACAATCAGCAATCAAAATGCTGGGAGGTATTTGGCATATTTAGGTAGGCATAAATGTCAGTTAACAAGTAGTTTTTCCTTTTTGTTTCCTAGTAACTAAATATGTGTCTGAGTTGTACAATACTTACCTGCTTCCTTATATAGCACTTCTGCCTTCTGCTGCGAGTCCTTACTGAATATACAAAACTTTTGTTTATAGAAATTTTCAACACAATTTAACTTCAAAATATGTTTTACGTCAAAAAAAAGCAGACAACTTCAAATAATAAATAGCTTGGGGTAAAGAGCATATGTAGACTGCAATTACATCTACAATAGTACTGTAATTCATATGAAGAATGAGCTTTTGAACTGAACGTTTCTATCACCTACTAACTGCACTTTGGCTGAGACAGCTTAATGACTTACAGTAGGTGAAGTGAGTTCCTTTCAAACAGATATAAACTGAAATGTGCACTATAAAACTGCACCTGATGTCCTCCTGGACATTCAGATTACAAGCCAAGAAGATAGTCTAAATTCTGCCAAGACTTGTAACATGTATATTGTGAGTTTATCAGATTCAATTGCTGTTTCTACAGATTCAATCCTATTTCACTGCATTGCCTAGTATTGATAAGGCAGGACATTATCTATTTATTAATATTGACACAGCCCTTTAAAACCATATGAAAGATAATGGGGTTGCAGAATATAACAAAAAAGCATATTTAGATCATAACTTAAAAAAAAATGTGAGAAGAGAAAAGGTAATTCTTTCAGACATAGAAATGACCAAACTTTCTGTGAGCATGTAGGGGACAAGATGATGAAAAAAATATGCTTTGGATTTTTCAGGAACAAGTTACATCAAATCAACATAATTTCCTTCTATGACTGTGAACACATATGTGAACAGGAAAGAACATTACAGCTTTATGATTTTGCCTCATGACAAGCTCTAATAAGGAGGATGTAAAGAGAAACTTTTATTAGATGGTTTCATAACTGCTTAGAAAGCCAACTCCATAGTTAATGTTATCTATGTATCTTTCGTTACCTTAAGTAAGGTGGAAAACTCAACAGTGGACAGACAGAGACAGACTCCATATAGAAGAGGCAACAAATATGGACTAGGCATTTGAAACTGGTTGAAGCTAATGTTTTGAAACTGGTAATCTAGCAATTGGAAATGTATTCTGCATCCTGGTTAATGAATCTGGATAGCAGTCAAATTCCACTCCGATTTCTTGAAATATGTTACACCTCCTAAGGAAAAGGTTATACCAACTTGTTTAGGTTAGATCAACATTAAATATAATGGTTTAGACTGACAGCTAGTTGATTTGGAACATGTTCTTCTTCTACTTACCCTGCAAATTCAACCTTAAGGTCTGAAAATCAAACCAAGATTTTCCTTGAATAAATCACTGCCAAGATTAGTAAGATTCAGCAGGACAACTTCTGGCCCCTTTTATACCCACATGATAAGTTTGCCTTCAAATTATCTACTCTGACTTGTATGATCCTGTTGCTTTGGTCAGATCTCATATGTTCACCTAATTAAAAATTTGTGAACAAACCAATTGAGATGCAATACAATCTAGAGCCAACTTTGTTCTGTCAGTAAAACAGGAAGCTAGCATAATGAGTATATTTAAAAGACAGTGAAAGTGAAATAACTGATTTTCACTTATTTCACTGTTCAGAATATATTGTATCCCTAGGACCCTGTCAGAAAATTGTTCAGGCCCTGCTTTTTCAGAATCAAGAGCTGTCTTTTTCACTGGAATACATGTTCCACTCAGCTTTTGAATATTGTATTTTTATAATCTGTGATCTTTCTTTTAACTAGGTGAATCTGAATGCCTGAATAAAGCTGCCAAGCCACAAATAATAACATGAATCTTATAAAAAATGCTATAATCAGACCAGATTGTTTTCACTGTTTTGAATACCTTCTTGAATACTGAAGTGAATCCATGTGCATTTAAAATAATGCTTCAATGTAATGTTAGTTTTCCAAGGTTATAGAAAACATAAGAATACATTAAGTCCAAATAATGAATATTTTTGTCATATTGAATCATTACATTAAGGTCATTTTCAATGTAAAAATGCTATTACAGATTTGCACGTAGACGTTGTATGCAAACAGAATTTAGGAATAAGTAAATAGCTCAAGCATACTAAAGAATCATTGTAATGTGTAAAATAAACTATCTACCAATGATGTCAGCATTAAGGAATGGTCTTCATAATAAATTATAGCCTAAATGCACATCTCAAATATATATATTTCATTATTATTCATGTGTTGTATTTCTTTCCTCAAGACAAAATTTTCAGTGGTGTTTACAAAAACCCCTTTGAAATGCCAGAACAGTGGCATATTGTTTAGAGAATGGTGTCCTGGCTGTTTCTTAGCTGTGATAGAAGATTTTCACAACAGCGGCTAAACATTTTTCCATTCTTCTCTTTTAGTAAAATTGAAGTGTTATTGAGAAAGTAGTCTTCACCAGATTACAAAGATTTCCTGGAAACCAGAAATTTAAGAGACTGCTTAATGTTTTTACAGACATCATCTATTTATGAAAATGTAGCATTTTGTTAACAGAAATTCTAATAAAATCAATTAAAAAATCAAATTCTAATGCTCAGGTTGTAATGGGATTTGTATTTAGGTAGTAGATAATGAAATTTTACAAACTGATTCAATTTTTTTTTCTTTAATTCCAAGATATAGTTGAATAAGAATGTAATATATTAATAAAGTCAAGCATGACTAGGGTTCATAAAACTATTTTATATCTTATCAGTGGCTATTTATTTAAAAATTTACTACCACCTTTTGTTATTTTGTTATTTTCTTTCTTTTAAAAAATTCAACGTTACCTGATTTAACTACAAAGCTTCTACCCCTTCCCCCTGCCTTTTACTTTTGAGCCACTGCATGTGAGAGTTTGTAGACGAGGACAAAATGGAGCAGAGACCTGTCCAATGACCCCAGAAATAACGCAAATCTTCCCCTATCTGTGATGCTGGAAGGTAAATAATGATCAAAGAAGGGCTTTGGAACTGCATCTTGGAGGGACTGGCTATTTTTGGCCTGACTGCTGGGTCTAAGGAAGGTCAGAGAGATTTGCCTAAATGTGAGCAGCACTGGTTTCACTTCAGCCTTGAACCAAGTTCTGAGGGGCTGCTGAATAACACAGATAAAAGAGAAGCCTTTAGGTTAAATAACTTTGATCTAATGCTAGCAATTCTGAAACTTCAATATTTGTATCCTGAGCACAAGAAAGTATGGGATGTCAATAGAACTGCCAAAACCATGTCCGGTCTCAAAATCTTTCAGGATATGCCATTCAGGTCATTTGGTAGGAAAACAAAACGAAAACACCCCCCATCTCCACACCACCCCACTCCCCCAAAAGCACCCCAAAACCTGAAAAGGTAAAAAAACCCCAATAAAAGTCTGAGCAGAATCAGACTTGTTCATCACTGGCAGTAACCATTGTTTCATCTTACTGCATGCTACTCTAGGAAGTTATATCATGGGGGTATTTTTGTGGGTTTTGTTTGTTTTTTTTTTTAAATATATTTCCTTTTTTTCTAATGTCGGAACATTTGGTT